ACCAGCCACTCCTCGGAAGGAAGGTTGGGCAATCCTACTTCCGTAGTGATACTGCCTCGGAAACCCAAGGAGGGGTTGCTATGAGTCAGGTTTGACTCGACGGCACATAACAACAACAACAACATGAAGGATTAGAGTTCTTAACATATAGGCAGATTTCTAGAAGCCCTGTATGACCCCATACAGTTTTACTGAAGATTTGGGACCTGGGGGATAGATAGAAGTGAGAAAGAGATGAGACTAGGTACCTATTGTCCTTCTAGTGGTCACTTAGGTTAGTTCCAATGTTGTGTTATAATAAGCACCATAGTGAAGTTGTCTTTATATAGGTATGAGTGTTGCTCAGGGTTGTTGATGAATATTACCAATTAACTCAGTTCTACATTTAGTGATTTTTTTTTTCCCTCTTGGGTCCTTCTTTCTCAACATATAAGCATATTCTCTACCTTAAAAATGCAAATGTGATCCAACAATGAAAACCTAACTTGCCCTAACTCTGTATCCTACCCTCGAGATATTATTTCCTTGCCTCCATAGTTAAGCTTCTTGCAAAAGTTTATAATGTCTTTTTACTTTCTCTTATTTCAATCAATTCTGAACCCACTGCATTCTAATATTTATTGCCTATGTGCCACTGAAGATCCTCTAAGCCTGGCCTTCTCTGACCTCTATATAAGACCAAACCTTGGGGGTGCTTTTTCATGTCTATCTGAGTTTGGTTCCTGTTAACATTCACTCTACAATTACTTTTTTCTTACTTCTTCTTGGAAGTTTTTTTTTTTTTTTTTAAGTCCTCCTTTAACTTATTTTGCCCTATTTTTCTCTTGTTTCCCTGGATCCTTACCAGTTTTCTTTCTTTTATTTATTGGTGAAAATATGCACACAAACATACACCCATTCAGCAAGGTCTATGTATTTAGTTCAATGACATTGGTTACATTCTTTTTATTGTGCCACAATTCTTGTCATCTTCACGCATATTGTTTCACCACCATTAACTTAAACTCACTTCCCTCTAAACTTCTCATCTATGCTTGATAGTGTTGGTGTTGTCAGTTGGATCTCATAAAGATAATTCTTTAAAAGGTCTCAGTGTGCAATGCAAACATTCTTTACTAATTGAGCTAAACTCTTGTTTAGTTTAAGATGACTTCAGGAGATAATTTGGTTTACAGTTTAATAACTACCTCTGGGGAATAGTTTTGGGGTTCTCCCAGTCTCAGTGGGTCCAGTAGGTCTGGTTTTCATAAGAATTAGAAACTCTGCTCCATGTTTTTCCTCCTTTTGATCAAGATCCATCCATTGTGTCCTTGATCAAAACGTTCAGTAATGGTGAACAGGCACCATCCAGCTTATTCTGTTTTGAAATTATGTCTTAATTTTCATGTTCCCAGGTTATATCTTCAGATCTCTGCAATGCATCCTTCCTGGAAAATCTCATCTAATCTTTAGTTACCACTGATGACTCTAAGTTCCCTGTTAGTGGCCCAAATATGTTCTAAGATTCAAACATTGGATGCAACTACCAATTGATCATTTCCACTTAGATACCTTTTAAATGTTCTGAGTTCAATATGGCACAAACTGAACTCAACATCTTCTCCCAATCAGATTTTCTTTCTTTATTGTCTCTTTAGTTAAGGGAATCAACTTCATTGCATTGGCTAGTCTAGGAATGAAAAGATCCTGTGGGATTCCCCCACATCCCTTACCTTCCACATCACTCACCAATTCCTACAGAACCTAATCTCTTTAATGTCATTCAAATTCATCCCTTTTCTTCCTCCCTTCTGCTTCTATGTCCATTTGCACTCTTCTCATTGCTAAGTGCTACTGGTCTTGCCTCTAAATTAGCCCTCTCCCTCTAACCCTGCATACTGCTGCCACAGTGGTGGTCTTAAATTGCACATCTGCTGTGTTGTTTCCCTGTCTAAAAAGCAAACCAACCAAATCCACTAACGTTGGGTCAAATTAAGACGCATAGTGACCCCGTAGGAGAGTAGAACTGCTTCATAGGTTTTCCAGAGCTATAAATCTTTACAGAAGCAGACAGCCTCATCTTTCTTCCACAAGCAGCCAGTGGATTCTAACCACCCACCTTTTGGTTAGCAGCCAATGCCTTACCCACTGCACCACCAGACCTCCTATCCCTGGCTAAAAGTCCTCGATTGTTCCTTGAGACTTTGAGGATAGAGTTCAAATTCCTGAGCTTAGCATGCAAGGCCCATCATGACCTGACCCCTGCCTATCTCCCTCTTCTCCTCTTGCACTGCTCTCCCACATACGGTCTTAACTCCAGTCATACTGAAGGGTCTGCAGTTATCCCACTACGTTACATGTCATGCTGGGCCTACTTTTGACATTCTTCTCCCTGACTGAAACATGGCTTTTTACATTTTTTTTTCCTTTCTGTTTTCTGATGGTCTAAACTCAAGCAACTTTTTTGCTTGTCTAATGCCTTATTTGATTTTCATGTACTTCCTCCTTGTTCTGCATAGCACCTTGTGCATACCAATATTTCTCCATTTACCAAACTGCCTTTCATTGTCTCTCTACTTGTCTGTCTCCTTCAGTGTGTAGTAAATATCTTGAAGACAGGAATTCTACCTTACTACCCACTGCCGTCTAGTGGATTCTGACTCACAGTGACCTATAGGACAAGGCAGAACTGCCCCACAGGGTTGCCAAGGCTGTGAATCATTATGGAATCAGACTGCCACCTCTTTCTCCCGCAGAGCAGATGATAGATTTGAACTGCCAATCTTTTGGTTAGTAGCCAAGTACTTTAACTATTGCATCACCAGGGCTTGCTTTAACATATAGAAGGCTTATAATACATTACTTGTGTATGAATGAAAAAGATAGTTGAAGAAAAATTATTTGTCTCAATAGAGTAGATCCTTAAAGTCCAGAATTTGTGAAGATATTAAAAAATAAAGCATCATAGGAAGTACAAACGACATTTGTGTAGGCAATTTTATTCTCAAATTTGAGTGGATTTCATCTCTTCTCACTTCACCCTCCTTTTGGAAATAATTCCTTTAAACTTTTTTAAAAACTGAGGAGAACCTAAGTGTCCTTGTGAAAGAATGATCTTTCTCTTATTAAAAGTGTTCAGGCACTGAAGGGGTCCCCACATATTGGGACTGCTAATGGGGAAATCCGTGAGCTGGGAGGTTGGACCAGATAATTCCTAAAGTTCCTTTTCACTCTTATTCATCTATTATTCTAAACCCATTGCTTTATTTAATGATGACAGTTTCATTTATTCTCTTGTTTATTCTACTGCTTATGTACTACAAAAGATTAAAAGTCAAAATAACAAATCCCACAAGTATTTCAAACCCAGCAATAACTTGTAGTTCATTTAAAATAAATGTGAAAAACATAAATTCAAAAAGAAAGCTTAGAACTATTACCCAAATAAACGTAGTACACATTTGAATTTAGTACACCTAAAATGAAAACTATTCTGAACAAAAGATGCATTCTACAATTTCATGTTCACAAATTAAAAAATTGAAAATTACAAAAAGGACTCAAATGTGAAGGATGTTCTCTTCTCCCCCTCAATTTTTCCATCTTTTCTCTTTAAACAGAAAAAATAAAATTCCCTGCTCCTCATGACTTGAAAAATAGTTTTACATCTGAGATCTTGTCATATAAGTTTCTAGAATAAATAATAAGTCTGAAATCTTATGGGTGGAGAAAAATGTCTCTACACGTCCACCAATAGCTGTGTGATCTCGAGCAAGATACTGAAACTTACCGTATTTTATAGTCTGTTAAATAATATGCATGTGTTTGCTTCATAGAGTTATTGTCAACATTAAATGAGAAAATATACATAAAGTAATTAGAATGGAGCCTAGCACACAGTGTGTAGTCATCATTAGTCTGCCATTATTAAGCTTCTGGAGGGCCATGATGCCCAGACGTTCAAAGACCAAGGAAGCATCTTGACCCCAATGATATTCTCTTCTCCTTTTGTTCCTCTCTTGTTTCTTTTTATAACTGCTCTTGTCTACTCTATATTATCTCCTCTGTGGTGTCACTTCTTCCTCTTTACATTTTTCCTTTGACCACTTTCCTCCTGCCTTTTTCATATTAATAAATGTTTATCCATTCTCTACTCTCCACCATTTCATATTCATATTTACATGTCACCATCTCTTTCTCTCTTTCTTTATGCAGCAGACCATGTGTCGACTTATGCAATGTTTGTACAGACACATAGACCATCAGGGGAGTTTATGTTTGAGTTCGATGAGGATGAGATGTTCAACGTGGATCTGGACAAGAAGGAGACTGTCTGGCATCTGCCAGAGTTTGGCCGAGCCTTTTCCTTTGAGGCTCAGGGTGGGCTGAGCAACATTGCTATTCTGAGGAGCAACTTGAAGATCATGATCGAACGCTCCAACCACACCCAAGGCTCCAATGGTACTGTCTAGCTCTGCTTCTTTCCCTCTAGCCCTAGTGGGAAGGGATGATGGTTCCTCTGCTACATGCAGAATTGGAGATCTAGATGCCTACTACTAAGTGGTTGTTTTTCCTGGGTTACCATGGCCTGGTCCCATATATCTGAGGGCTTGGATCATCCTTCTCACTCAAAGGAAAGGTTGAACTGACTGAAGTTAATCAATAAAATGAGATTCTTGGCTGTGAATCATAATTCTGAGATAGATGACACCCTAAAGTGGAGGCTTTGTATTGAGCCCAGAGCAGGGGACTCACCAGGTCCTGTCTCCCTTCAGAGCCCCCCGAGGTGATCGTGTTTCCTAAGGAGGCTGTGCAGCTGGGCCAGCCCAACACTCTCATCTGCCATGTGGACAAGTTCTTCCCTCCGGTGCTCAATGTCACCTGGCTGCGCAACGGGCAGACAGTCTCTGAGGGTGTTGGTGAAAGCCTCTTCTTGCCCAGAACAGATTACAAGTTCTACAGGTTCCAAAAGTTCCACTACCTGACCTTCGTGCCCTCAGTGGATGATGTCTATGACTGCAAGGTGGAGCACTGGGGCCTGGAGGAACCGCTTCTCAAACACTGGGGTATGGAGCCTCTTTTCCTCTTAATAACCTCCTTGGTGCCCTCCTCAATCCCAGGAACTGGTGCCCTCCGCACCTGCGTTTGCCACTCACCAAGTCTCAGTCTCCCTAACATGCCATCAAATGGTCTATAACCTTCACCATTCACACCCCCCCCCCAGGCTAGTCTCCCCACTGTTGCACCTTCTGACCTCATCTCTTCTTTCTTCCGCCAGAGGCCCAGGAGCCGATCCAGGTGTCTGAGATGACGGAGACTGTGGTCTGTGCCCTCGGCCTGGCAGTGGGCCTGGTGGGCATCATTGCTGGCACTGTCCTCATCATAAAGGCTCTACGTTCCAGTAGTGACCCTTGGAACCAGGGGCCCCTGTGAGTTATTCTGGGATGGGGATCTTAGGATACAATCAGAACAAAAGAGGTGAGAGCCTGGGATCTGTAGTGAATAAAGAAGGGAAGAAAAATGCAATTAGATAAGTGTACATGGATCTCTAAATGGGTTAAAAGCACTGAGCTGCCTGGCAACAACAGCTCTACTAATAAAGTATGGAGTATTTAATACATGTCAGGCACTATTCTGAGTGGTTTACCTTTATTACCTAATTTTATCTTCTCAAATACTCTATGAGGTAAGTGCTATTGTCTTCATTTTACATGTGAGAGATATAAGCCACGGAGATATTAAGCCGCTTGACCAAAGTCACACAACCAGGATGTAATGGAGCTAGAAGACACAAAATTGTTTGCTTGATCACTAACTTATACTTCCTCTTTATTTTATAAAGAAAAAGGCCAACTCTAAACTCTAAAGGCCAGTAGTGGAGCCAGATACATCTTTCAATGCATAAATACCACACAGTGTGATAGGTGCTTAATAGAGAATTTTTATACTGTCCACTGAATACCACTTGCACTCACTGAATGTGTATTGGCAAAGCTAATACACAAATGCTCCTTCTGAGGGTCCATATTTCCTATTTATCATGGTACATTTTATACACTTATCTGTTTTTCTAATTCTCTTACTATTGGTAATCTTTCCATAAGGGTGACTATATATTATTCATTATTACTATTAATTTTTATGTTGAATCTTGGGAGCTCTGGCAGTGTAATACCTAAGGCACTTGACCACTAAGCAGAAGGCTAGTGGTTCAAATCCACCAGCCACTCCTCGGGGGTAGGGTTGGGCAATCTACTTCCGTAGTAATACTGCCTCGGAAACCCAAGGAGGGGTCGCTATGAGTTGGGGCCGACTCGATGGCACATAACAACAACAACAACAACAACTATTATTCTTTGGTTACAAAGAGGTTATTGATTTTAAAACTTAATAACTTCTATAAGATGACAGATCTAATAATTGATTAAGTTGGGATTAGAATTTGACATCTTGGAAGGCAATCAGCAGGGCAACTGTGGATATTTTGATCAGATACAATCAGATTTACATGACAAATGATGACTCTGGTGGTACTATAAAGACTAGTTCAAGTGTGAAATAATGAGACATGAATTGTAGAATGAGGTAGTATATACAAAGGGGAAGACAGATTTGAGGAGATGTGTCAGAGGTGGGATCTACTGTCTTGTTTACTGATGGGATGATTGTTGTCATCCTGGAATGGAGCTTGTTCTGTGGCCTCAGCAATGGTGCCCTACCCTTCTCAGGTTATTTTGGAGACTGGAAGCATACAGGCTGCCCCTAATGTCAGCTTGGGGCTGTGGTAACATTCTGACACTTCAGGGTTCTCTTAGACTCCTCACTGCTGCTCACCTGGAGGACAATGGCAAGCATAGGAATGAACACCTACTCCCTGGGGCCTGGGCAGGGTAGAGACAAGGGAGGAAGTAGGTATAAAAGAAATGAGGAAGATGAGCCTAAGCTTGGAGTCCTGAACCCAAAGATGACAGTAATGGTGTTTGTCTTGCTGCAGGTGACAAGATTTCTGTCAAAGAAGACCTAGAAGACATCTGAATTCCATCAAACTCCAGTCTCAGCTTCTATTCACCCTTTTTGTGCTTTTCACCCCAATGAATTACTTGCTGAACCCTTTAAGTCATGTTCTCTTTTATGACCTTAAAGCACCCAGCACATAACAAAGTTCCTGGCACATAGCAGTAATTAATAAATGTTGACATTTTCCTAACACTGGTGTGGAGATAATCCCCTCTCTAGGCTTCCCATGCCTTAAGGAACCCTTTGCTGGCCTCTTCTTGAGAATTCCCTGAGACTACAAATTCTTCAGTATTTCTGAGCTGGGTGACTCTGGCTTCTTCTTGTTGGCACCTAGGGCAGGGCTGAGAGGTTCTTACTCAGTTCATTTCACATATAGGCTATGAGCAGGCACAAACTGCTCTGGTTACCCTTTGAAGCTCATGTGCCTCTGTCACCCTTGTTTTTGTCTAAACCTTATGGAATGAATTTGTGCCTTTATATTCTTGAATAACAAGATAATATATGGAAATTAATTAGTTGTTCTTTATTTGTTCTCAATTCACCTTTTTAAAGTTTCAAAGATGTTTCCCTTATTAGCTCAGAGTTTGGAGAATAAATTTTACCCTCCATAGCTTTCAAATTTTAAATGCTTTTATTATAGATCTTCCTTCACACCTGTCAGCCTCCATTCTTGTCTATTGCCTTGTAATTGTTTAATGTCTTTCCCTCATCCTGCTGATGATTTTACTTGCTCTTTTATGACCCTTCTCCATTACCTTTGTTTTTTTCTTGTGGCACAAAAATTGTGAGGTAAAATGAAATTTTCCAAGAGTTGCACTCAATGGTCTGTGTCTGCAATACTCTCAGTACTTTAGGATTAATAAACAAGTCTGGGTCCAAGATGAGCAGATGCATGGAATGAAAAACTAATAAGAAATATAATGGAAATGATCCATGGGAAAGAGTTAGAAAAGAAGGTTCTTATGTTGGTTCAGAAAAGCCTCTGAACAAACAGCAACAACAAATAGCAATAGCCACAAACCCTGGGAAGGGAGAAGAATCTGATTTCTATAGTTGTCACATTATATTATTACAAATGTCCAGTTTCTAACAAAATTTACAGCACATGCAAAGAATCAAGAAAGTATGGCCCATTCACAGGGGGAAAAAGTCAATAAATAAAAAACTGTGTCTGAGGAAGCCCAGATATTAAACTTATTAGACATTAAGTCAGCATCCCAACATGTTCAAAGAACTAAAGGAAGCCATGTTTAAAGAACTAAAATGAAATGTGAAGATGATGTCTCACCTAATTGAGAATATAAATAACCAAAACAAACAAACAAAAAAAATCCCAAACTGCCAATATAAGTAAAGATTTAGAAATTACAATAAGAACCAAGTAGAAATTTGGGAGTTAAAAAATAAAATAACTGAGATGAAAAATTCACTAGAGGCTAAAGCAGCAAGTATGAGTAGGCGGAAGAAAGAATCAGCAAACTTCAAGATAATAGATCAGTTGAGATTATCCAGTTTGAGGAAGAAAAAAGGAAGATCAAAAAATTAGCAGAGTGTATTAACATGCATATAATGGAAGTCCCAAAAGACTGGGAAGAGAAAGTGTCAGAAATAATATTTGAAGAGATAATGACTAAAAACTCCACAGATTTGATGAAAGATATTAATAGACTCATCAAAGAATCTCCTTGGACTGCAACAGGATAAGTTCAAAGAGACCCACACCTGCACACATCATAATCAAATTGTTGAAATTTAAAGACTAAGAGAGACTCTTGAAAGCAGCAAAAGTGGGTCATGACCAAAAAAAAAAGAAGCCTTAACAAGAGGAATAGCTGATCCTGAGGCTATGGTCCTTAGTCACCCTTCAAGCCTGGAACTGAATTTACTCCCATGGCTCAACTTTCAGCCAAGCAATAGACAGGCCTAAGAGGTGGACAATAAAACCAGAGAGGTATTCACTCCTTAGAACAACCAAAGATATGAGATCAAAAAGGCAGCATTTGCACAGGGATACAGCTCAGAAGGCAGGAGTGGATAGGAAAGAAAGACAAAGGGAAATAGCAACCACAGGGAGGAAGTGCGAAGAGTGCTATTGCATTGAGGGGATTGTAATCAATGCCACAAAACAAAACATGTATGAACTGGTGAATGGAAAACTTATTTACTGTGTATACTTCCATCCAAAGGAGCTCTGGGAGCATAGTGCCTAAGGCACTTGACTGCTAACCAGAAGGCTAGTGGGTCAAACCCACCATCCACTCCTTGGAAGGAAGGTTTGGCAATCTACTTTCCTAGTGGTGCTGCCTCAGAAACCCAAGGAGGGGTTGCTATGAGTCAGGTCCAAGTCGCCGGCACATAACAA